AAAAAAAAAAAAAAAAAAAAAAAGAATAAACCTTGTTGACTCAGGAAAGGTCTGTGAATGGGCGACTGTGCCCCTTGCTTGGCTGTTCAGTTTTCAAATCCTGAGCCCTGGCCAAGTCACATGGCAAAAACAGCCTGCCAGGGCTTCCCTGGTGGCGCAGTGGTTGAGAGTCCGTCTGCCGATGCAGGGGACGCGGGTTTGTGCCCCGGTCCGGGAAGATCCCACATGCCGCGGAGCGGCTGGGCCCGTGAGCCATGGCCGCTGAGCCTGTGTGTCCGGAGCCTGTGCTCTGCGACGGGAGAGGCCACAACAGTGAGAGGCCCGCGTACCGCAAAAAAAGAAATAAATAAACAGCCTGCCCATCCCTCTCTCCCTTCCCACCCTCCCCTCACAGTTGCGTGCTTCTGCCCATGGCCCCTTGAGTGCCCCTGAGGCTGAGGGTCAAGCTCTTCACTGCATTCATGAACCACCACCCAAATGCCAGAGATCCTCTGGCCCTAGGCTCTGCAGTGCGAAGGGGTCCAAGGGAAAGTGAAAGGGTCCTTGAGGGTCCCCCTTCACCTCACCGTCTCGGGTCCCCGTTCATCTTGTCCCCCAGCCTTACGTGGAGGCCTCTGGTTTCACCTTTCGGGTTAGCACTTAAGAGCAGAACCATGCATGTGTGCAGAAATATGAACCCCTGGCTGCCTGTGCTGATGAATTTTCTTGATCTAACTGAATGCTAAGAAATACTCCACTCCTAGGCCCAGGTAAACTGTATGTAAGGGTTTTAAACTGAATTTGGCTGTTCACCCCACAAAAATCATCAGTTTTCCCTCTGGTATAAGCACACTTTAATATCACCCACTTTAAAAAGCACCTTCTTTTGACCCTCTGTCTCCCATCCACTGCGTCTGCAAGTCCTGTGGGCTCTCCCTGTACCCAGTATCCAGACTGTTTGCTCCCAGCCCACTCAGGGCTTCTCTCACCTGGACCATCTGGGCTGCCTCTTGACTGGTCTCCAGCCTCGCTTCTTGATTCCATACCCTCCCTTAGCCCCTTCTTCACTTAGCAGTCAGAGGGATTTTATTTAAATCAAATCAGATCACATCCCCCCACCCCACTTAAAGCCCTTCACTCTGTCTACTATAGAATAAACCCAGTCTCCCAGCTGTGGTCTGCCTCTCTCTCTCCTTCTTTCATTACCTCTGGAGCACTCCACACTCATTCATACCCCAGGGCCTTTGCACAAGCTCTTCCTTTGGCCTGGAATCTCACCCCACATCTTTGCATGGCCAGCTCCGTCTTGTCATTCGGGAATCAACTCAGACGTCATTTCAGAGAGGTTTTCCGAGGCAGCCTGTCAGCACGGCACCTTGTCCCTGTCATCCCACTCGAGCTGTTCCCATTTGATTGTCTTCATAACATGGAAATAGTCACTTATGTGCATATGGTCTCTCTCCCCTGGAAAAGGCCAGCACTGCAGAGGAGATATGTCTCTTTTTTCCTGCGGAATTCCCAGCAAGCAGAGCAGAGCCTGGCACAGAGCAGGTGCCCGTGTGAATCTCGAGCCCTGTGAATGAATCAGAGCCCCCCCTTCCTAAGTGAGGCACCCACACTGGCCTCTGGCGGGTGGATAGTTGCCAGCCTGGAATGTGGGCCTGGTGTTGTCACAGCTTCCAACCTCTCATGAGATGCTGGGAATCTGAATTTTTTTTTTAATGTGAAATTTTCCAACTTTTAAAACACCGTGCGAGCCAAACAAAATATGCCTACGGGCCACATCCGGTCCATGGGCCACCGGTGTGTGATCTCTGCTCTCAGTTTCAAGTTATTACTGCA